CCCTCCCTCCCTCCCTCCCTCCCTCCCTCCCTCCCTCCCTCCCTTATCTTCTCCCAGAGTCGTTTTCTCAATGGAAGTTCCTCTTACCAAATAACTCTGCCTTATGTCAAGTTGACAGAAACTGACTAGGACACTAGAGAAATGATTCAAAGAGAGTAATATCATAAGTTAGGTCATGGAAATGGTATATATAAAGTGCTCTGAGAAGAATCGAGACTAGTTGAGTAGAAAGATCCAGAGGAAAAAAGGGGACAGTTAATAGGGCCAGGCCACATGTAACCTAGTTATACCTCTGTGAAAGAAAATGGAGAACCACTGAAAAAATTTTAGCAAAGAGTGATATAACCAAGTTTGCCTTTTGTAAACAGCATCCTGGTACAGGACAGACAGTAGAATCAATGTAGTAAGTAGATAGCACTGAAGGCTGTTACAGTAACTGATTATAATTTCTGAGATAAGATTTAGAGGAGAGATAGAGGTAAATTGATATAAAGGGATATTGAGCTCAAGTTGGATTGAAGGGAGCTATAGCTAGATTGAATATAAGAGTTGAGGAGAAAGACACATCAGTGACCCCTGGTTCTCTGGATCATATACTTAGATGGCAGGAAGTAGGTGGTGAATTTGATTTTGAATATGATTCACTTGAGGGGTCCTTTAGACTTCCCAGAGGTGAATCATTAAACAGGTCTGGTTGGATGTATAGGTTTAAAGCTTGGAAGAGAGGTACGAGCTAGAGCAATAGATTTGTAAGTTTTCTTCACACAGGGGATTAAAGTTCTTGGATCAACAGTAAGGAGGGGGCAGGGATTGAAATGCCGAAGGACTTAATGGCTGGGATGTAAGGAAGATAAGTTGTTAATGGAGTCTGAGGAAAAGTGACCGTGGGGCTTTGGGGTAAAACCAAGAGACTATTGGGTCAGGAGTGCGTTGAGTAAGTGGACAGCATCCTTGAATTCTCAGAGAGAGCACATGAAGTGAGACCCACATAAAGCTCATTTGATGCAGACTCTGGAAGTCATTGAAAAACCCAGTCAGTTCTGTCATGGGGAGAATTCATCAGAGGCTCAGTTAGGGTGTGCTGGGCATGTAGAGTGTAGTAACTGAGATAAGGTAAGAAGCTTGGATTTCTTGTGTTGTGGTGTGTGTGTGTCTGTGTGTCTGTGTGTGTGTGTGTCTGTGTGTCTGTGTGTGTGTGTGTCTGTGTCTGTCTGTCTATCTTTCTGTCAGTCTATGCCTGTCTGTCTTCCCCACTTTCTACCCTTTTGTGCATATAGCTAATTGTCTGGACTAGTTCCTCCAGTTTAATGATCTGGCTGATTGCTATCCACTTCTTAAACTGAAGCTTTTGTTTGTCTAGAAGTCTTCCCTGTTCTTGCCCACTCTCTTAAATTAGGTTAACTGTCCTTTGGTTACTTGCTTGTCTTTTCTGTAAGTTCCTATGCTTCTGTAGTGCTTTATATTCAGTAGGTTTGATAAACTAAATGAAAATATGAATTTGTAGTGTTGTAAGTCTCTATGGTGACTATGTATGACATGGTTTCAGTTATAGGCTAAAACACACAGTAAAAATCTGCAATTGTATAACAGGTTACATATATACTTATACAGAAAGTGACTTGAGTGAATATTCTCCACATCTGATTCCTGTACTGAGTGGGGTTTTGTGAGTATAGACAGCATGACCTGCCTCCCTCAAGAACTCACCTTTGCCTACAAGGCAGTATGTGTGTCTGAATGGTATTCCTTTAAGAGGACCTGTCTCCTGGTGGATTACTTTTGTTAGGACTTGGTCTGTACTACCAATTCTTAGTTTTCTAACTTCTGGAGAGTGACTAGTAGGAACTTTTGGCCTCTACAAATACTGCTGGTCTCTGAGTGTGCACAGAGACCATCTAGGATGACTGAGGAAGCCTGATCATGCTCTGTCATTCCCAGCAGGTCGCAGATGCTCTCCAAGGTGCTCTCATAATCAAATAGAGGCTCTCATAATCTAGACAATGCTGATTCTTCCAACCTATGTTATAATCTCATCCTTTTATCAATACACATTTTGTACCGTACTAGTATCTTAGTTACTTTACTTTTCTATTACTGTGAAAGAGACACTAGGACCAAGGCAATTCTTATAAAACATTGAATTGGGGCTTGCTTACAGTTTTAGAGGGTTAGTTCATGATCATCATGGTGGGAAAACAGAGAGTCATGGCACTGGAACAACAGCTGAGAGCTTTACATACTCCTCCAGACTGGGCCTGCTCTGGCCTTTTGAAACCTCAAAGCCCACCCATAGTGATATACCTCCTCCAGTAAGGCCACACCTCTTAGTCCCTCTAATCTTTCTTAAACACAGAGTACACTGTGGTGACAAAGCATTTAAGTATATGAACCTGTGGGGACCATTCTCATTCAAAGTACCATAACTAGAATATTCAAAACTTGAGCTATTTGAATCAGATGTATTTATTGTTCAGTAGTTTTATGAAATAATTATTGGTCCTAAAAGACTTAGATAAAAAACTGGATATGATGATACACACATATAATTTTAGAATTTGGGAGATACAGGCAGGAGGATCAAGGGTAGCTTTGACTACACAGGAACTTGGAGGATAGCCTGGGCTACAGGAGCCCTGTTTCAAAAATTAAAAATCATATGTCGTTTTCTTATCTTTCAGCTCTCTCATCTTTCCCGCTTTCTCTTCCGCAGTATTCCTCGAGCCTTAAGAGAGATTGTATAAATATCCTGTTTAAGGCAAACACTCAGCAGCTGTGCATTCTGCTCACTCTATAGAGAAGAGTCTCTTGATTAAGAATAAGAATAGTATGTAAGACCGATGGGTTTGAAATGATATCTTGTGTTGGTTTGTGTTTTCACTTAATCTGTTTGCTAGTGTGGGCGAGGTTCCTCTAACTGACGTATTAGTTACTTGAGTTTCTTCTGTGAATTACTTTTTCAGATCGTTCATTTATTTTTCTTCTTGGTCCTATTGATGTTCCTATCTTCTGAGAAAAGTATATTGCAAGTATTCTCTCCTTTGGCTCAAGTCTGCTCACAGTTACGACCTCTTTTCATGAATGAGTTCTTAGTTTTGACCAGACGGTAATTGTCATCTCCCTTATAGACTTATATGTAATTGCTCTCTTCTTGAAGTCATAAAGCACACTCTTCTTTATTGTATTCTAGACATGTGTAGTTTGCCAGTCACATTGTTTTATATGCTACCTGGAACTGATGTTTGCAGAGTATGAGTAAGATCCTGGTTTATTGGGTTGTTTTGTTGTTTGGTTTTTGTTTTGTCATTGCCAGAAACTGAACATAGGGCCTCACACATGCCTGGCAGGCTCCTACTATATTCTTAGTCCCAGCTTAATATTTTTTAAAATTTAATGTTGTATGAGTGTGTGCACATGTGCATATCTGTGTGTGTGTATGTGTGTTTTATATTTGTGTAAGTTCATGTGCCACCTATGCATGTAGGAGCCACAGAGGCTACAAGAGGGAATCAGATTCCCTGGAACTGGAGTTACAGGCAATTGTAAGCTGCCATGTGGGTGCTAGGAACCAAACCCAGGTTCTCTGAAAGAGCCATAAGCATTCTTAAATGCTGAGCCATCTTTCCAGCCCCAGTTATCTCAACAACATTACAAAGGTCATTCTTTCCGGTTGAGAGGCAGTGTGTGTCTGCTAACTCCATTAGTCACTTAAGGACACAGCTTCTGGGGTTGTCTCCATCTTTCAGTTTGTTTTCTTGAGTTCTTTCTTTGATGGTTACTTTGGCTTAATCTTTATTCTTTTTTTCTCTTTCATTAATGTTTTGTTTTCTGTTTTGTTTTTTTCTGATATACCAAATTTATATGAGTTAATTGGTACCTAGATTTTGATTTTTCTGAACTAAGCTGTCAATAATTTTTTTTATAAACACTACTTATCTGTGTTTCACATATATATTTTTATTCTTTGGCTTCTTCTCTCTCTCTTTTTACTTTATTAAAATACTGAGTTTATTTCACATGTGTATTTTTATCTCCCTACCATTTCCACATCTGACCACTGCTATTACTATGTCCTATCATAACATTCCATACATACTTAAAACCAAGTAAGGGTGGCGTTCCATCCTTGGAAACTAAACAGGCATTTTAGACAACACATTCTTGGCAATTGAATCTGGACAGCATTTATCAAAACACAGTAGGGAAAGTTCTCACTTTGCATTAGAAAGAGAACAGCCAGATATCAACTCTTATAAAAATGAAGTAAGCCGGAATATTTCAAACAGTTTAAACCTTCTTCCTTCCTTCCTTTCTTTCATTTTTTTTTTGTTTTTTTTTTTTTGTTTTTGTTTTCGAGACAGGGTTTCTCTGTGTAGCCCGGGCTGTCCTGGAACTCACTCTGTAGACCAGGCTGGCCTCGAACTCAGAAATCCACCTGCCTCTGCCTTCCAAGTGCTGGGATTAAAGGCTTGCGCCACCACTACCCAGCTAAACCATTTTCTTAAAGAGACTTGTACTACTGCCAGAGACCTTGAATAGCCTCTGGTCAGTGATCCAGAAGCAATTCTTCACCATAATTAATGAACTTGGCTTCCACTTTGGGAAGAAACCACCTTTTTCTATACTTGCTTGCAATTTTGCCTTAATGTTTTCTACAGAACTAGGTTCTTTTGGTGTTTTAGGATTTTTTTTCCTTATTTTTTGAAGGACTTGACCCTTAGATCTTGATGTGGATGGTTTTATGTCACTTCCATTTTGGTTTGTTTTTTGTGCATTTTTTTGCTGGAGTATCTTGTACAGATTTATTCACTAGTATTTTTCTTCAATGTCCTTATCATTTTCTTCTTCTTCTCCTTCTCCATCACCATCACCATCATCATCATCTTTGTCATTATCATTAGCATCTTTATTAAGTTTTGCCTTTTTTCTGTGGAACTTTGTTACATCTCTAGGGGCAGACCACTTTCTAGACTATTTAAGAGTTTTACATCCTCCCCACCTTCATCTTCTGACTGTATCTTCCTCTATAGCTGCTAGGTTCTGTTTACTGTTATCCACAGGTCCTGATAAGCCTTAAGACCACAGGTGGTGAAATTTCAAAGCCCCCAAGGGGAACTATTGGTTATACAGACATTTTCACAATTGCCAGTGTTACTTTAATTAAACTGCCTTTACAGTTAGTTCATTGCTTCTGCCCCTTCAATGTGTAATTCGGCTTTTGCTCCTGTTCCTAAACTGACCATTCTTAATGATAACTGGTGCTTATTTTCATCATTATCCACTTTAAAGTGATGATCTTTGTCAACCTTTAATTCACAACTGAAAAGTCGTTCATAGGCCGAAGAAGGCTGATGTCCATACCTTCCATGAGGTGGAAGACGGAAGAAACTGTGACACGCAGGATAGAATCACAGCAGGGCTTTTATTTTATTTTTTAAAACTTATATATTTTTTTTGATCCATGAGTTAGAGTTGCTACTTAGTTTTTTTTTTTTTATATTTGTTCACACTGATTTCTAGCTTAGAGACTATAACCTATGCGGTATTGACCAGACATAGATGAGCAACTGGGTGCCAGATTACTGAGACAGAAAAGTTTGGAGGTAAAGAAGACGAACAAGGACAGACATTATCTAGAGTCAGTAGGTTTGCAGTGCTGTGAGCAGACTTGAAAGGGGTCATGTCCTCAGTTAGACTAGACCTTTTTATTGTTTTTAGAGATACAAGCATATTTAATGTTCTTGTACAACTTTTTCTAATTAGAACAATTTTTCATAGTTGCAGAAGACCCTGCAAAGTCACTTACAGAGATGTCTTCAGACTTCGGACATTCATCATCTCCACCACAACCTCCTTCCATGAACTCCTTGTCTAGCGAGAACAGATTTCACTCCTTACCCTTCAGCCTGACAAAGATGCCCAATACTAATGGCAGCATGGCTCATAGTCCACTCTCTCTGTCAGTGCAGTCTGTGATGGGAGAGCTGAACAGCACGCCTGTCCAGGAGAGTCCACCCTTACCCATCTCTTCTGGGAATGCACACGGGTTAGAGGTCGGCTCACTGGCTGAAGTAAAAGAGAACCCCCCGTTCTATGGGGTTATCCGTTGGATTGGCCAGCCACCAGGGCTCAGTGACGTGCTAGCTGGACTGGAACTGGTAATTTAATTGGCCAAAAATCTACAACTCTTTTACTGCATGAAGTTTTGTTTAGGTTTTCCATTATTAGATAATTTCTTGGAAAATCACTGTGCATGTGCATGTGTGTTCGTGTGTGCGCATGTGTGTGTATATCTCCAGTAATAGAGAAAATATTCTTACTGTATAGCCTCACTTCATTCACTCTGCCATTCTGTAAGCTACTGGCTCACTTTTTCCTCATGTTTGCTTGTCTGTGATCAAGGAGTACATTGATTTTTTAGGCTAGGCTATTTAGCTTCTTTATATTAAGTATAATGCAGCTAACAAAGCATTTACCAGCTTTTCTTCTTATTCCTCAGCCTCCTCTGATATGATTGGCTTTACAATTAATCATCCTGTTCAGAGGTCTTTGTAGAAGAGGTTTTCCCTTTGGAGATTAGAAAAGAATATTGTGTGATATTTCATAATTGTGGATGAGGAACTTGAATAAACTTAGCTTTTATCTTAATGTGGCTTTTGGTTAACTTTTTTCACTTGTTATCTTAATGGTAAGGAACTAGATAAATTAATTAATCTATCTCCCCCTGCCCCTTAATCTTCTTTTTTTTGTTTTTGTTTTTGTTTTTTCGAGACAAGGTTTCTCTGTGTAGTCCTGGCTGTCCTGGAACTCACTCTGTAGACCAGGCCGGCCTCGAACTCAGAAATCCACCTGCTTCTGCCTCCCAAGTGCTGGGATTAAAGGCATATGCCACCAGTGCCTGGCCTGCCCCTTAATCTTAATACTTTTGAAATGGCTCAGGGCAAATCAGTAAACCAAGGAAGCTCTGAGTGCATATTTGAAAGGAAATGCATGAAATCCTTCCTGGTGGGCTAAAGAATCGTCATCTTAAACCACTAGCTGAGAGCTGAAGCCTGGGGCAGTCAGTCACTTTCTCCATGCTGTTCTAGTCAGTACAGATTTGATGAAGGCATTCCGACAAAGTGTAAGTGCCATAGTTCTTCCCCAGTCCTCTACAAGGTGCAGTGTCACACATGCTGAAGAAGCCTTTCTTTTTCAGGAAGATGAATGCGCAGGCTGTACAGATGGAACTTTCAGGGGCACGCGCTATTTCACCTGTGCCCTGAAGAAGGCACTGTTTGTGAAACTGAAGAGCTGCAGACCCGACTCTAGGTTTGCATCCTTGCAGCCTGTTTCCAATCAGATTGAAAGGTGTAACTCTTTAGGTATTGGATACTTTTAATTTATTTACCCATCTGGAATGACTGTCTCATCCTGCTTTTCAGTATCTGAGGATAACTGTTTAAATGATTTTCTTGCCAATGTTCATCAAGTTTCTACATTGTTAAAGATTGTAACATGGTGCATAATAAGAAAGTTATCCTAAGAGGAGGTACATTAAAAAAGTATTAGTTAGGAAACATGTTTAGGATCTAAAGAAGGAAAAGTAGTGTTTTGTTTTTTCTTCTCTTGTAGTGATTATAGATATTTAATTTTTGGCAATATGGGTAGTAGAAGTGAAAATGTGGTCCTTTTAGTATTAATGTCCCCCTCACCGTCTTATTTAAGCACTTCATTCAGGGTATTCTATGAAGAAATATGATACAGTCTGGGGACACAATCAGGTTGACAGGTGGAGGATGGCTCTTGTCATCACTTGTCATCAGCTTGCTGATGCTGGCCTTTCCCACTTCTGGACAATAGTGAGAGTCAAGCAGGGGTAAATAGGGGGACCCATCTTTATGAAAAACATTTTTCTAAATGTTGAAAAGTAATTTGGAAATTTTTGTTTTCTTTTCACACTTGAAAATGAAACATTTTGGACAAGTAACAAAGTATTTATTTGGCAGTATTTATTTGACTTAATTTTCTAAGTTCTATCTGATGGAAGCAGTGTTATAAGTGAATAATAGCATTTTTATAAGCCCAGATTAACTGTTAACTAAAGGTTGAAAATATTTGCACAGTATGTCAAAATATGTTTTAAATGATGACATATATATGTACAATGCGTATGAATATATACTATCATGTTTTAAAATAATTGTTATCATTTTTTATCTTTTCAGCATTTGGGGGCTACTTAAGTGAAGTAGTAGAAGAAAATACTCCACCTAAAATGGAGAAGGAGGGTTTGGAGATAATGATTGGGAAGAAGAAAGGGATCCAGGGCCATTACAATTCCTGTTACTTAGACTCAACTTTATTCTGGTAAGTTCACATTTTCTGCAGTAGGTTTAGATGGTGCTTTGTTGGGGGAAGGTAGATGTGTGTGTGTGTGTGTGTGTGTGTGTGTGTGTGTGTGTGTGTGTGTGAAAGGAGGTGTCTTTGAGTAGAGAAACTGACTTGAGAGTTAGCAAAGATCGTAAGATTTGGTTCTTCACAGCAAAAGAATTTCCTATCTTATTTCTAGATTTAAAAAACTAAAATAAAAATACTTCAGCGAGGGCTGGAGAGATGGTTCAGAGGTTAAGACCACTGGCTGCTCTTCCAGAGGTCCTGAATTCAATTCCCAGCAACCACATGGTGGCTCACAACCATCTATAAGGGGATCTGATGTGCTCTTCTGGCCTGTGGGTGTATATGCAACAGAGCACTCATACATTAAACAAATAAAATTTAAAAAAACAAAAAACTTGAGTGAGTAAAGAGTAAAAGCATCCAGAACAGATGTGAACAGATGTGCTGAGGGCATCTGCGTCCAGTGCAGTAGACTGCATGTGAATGAGCCAAGTTTACTGGCTGGCAGAAAACTGTTGGCATTGTAGGTGTATTCTTTAGTATGTCGAGGTGATTATAGAAATTCTTTATATTAAAAGTTATTTCCCATGGGATCACTGTTGTCTTCCTTTGTGTTGTTTTCCCTAAAGTGGAGTGAGTAATACAAGGAACATTAAGCTCTGATGATTGAACTGTGAATCTGTGGCCTCAAGGATTGTGCACTGCCAGCTTAACTAAATGGCTCTGCCATCTCTGCTCTGTAAGCTGTGCCACAAGAGCGAGGGTTTAGCGTGGATGGGAGGATTTCGGAAGGACAGAGCAGAGTAAAGGCTGTGGGTTTTTTTTGTTGGTGGAATACTTTTGATTAAACAAACCTTATATAGTATTGCTATAATATTCTTTAGATTTCCTGATAAAAGTCAGTTTAAGCCAAATATTATATTCTTTGATACCAGTAAGTTTCTGCTGCTAGTCACTCACAAGTTATTTTATAGAAGCACATGTCTCAAGAGAACAAGATGTATTTGTCCTAGCTAGTGGCCTCCAGCTTTCTCCCCATGTTGTCTGTGCATGTGGGGGGGGGGTGTTGGAGAGGGGAGAGAGGGGAGAGAGGGGAAGCTGATTTCTAGGCTCTTCTTGGCTTATGTAAATAAACAAGCTTTTTTCAAAACCTTCCCTGGCATGTCTCTACTCTGTGCTTGTGGTCTGGAACTTCAGGGTCTGTGGGTGCTAATGGCTGAACACAGGCCTCTGCTGTCTTGACGCATGAATTCTTATGCCGTTGCTCTCCTACACTTGGCTCTTCTTTCTCTTCTGACTCCTTTAAGAATCTCTCCTAAATATCAATGTTCGTATAGCATAAGGGAAAATCCTCTTTTTATTTTACAGCTTATTTGCTTTCAGCTCTGCCCTGGACACTGTGTTACTTAGACCCAAAGAGAAGAATGATGTGGAGTATTACAGCGAGACTCAGGAGCTGCTAAGGACAGAGATAGTCAATCCTCTGAGGATGTGAGTAGGAGATGTGCTTTGTCGTTAGTTCGCGTTCTGTTGGCTGTTTTCCTGTGTAGTAATTAATTCTTGATGTGTGCTCATATAGTAAAAAAAAAAAAAAAAAGATGGACAGAAATTAATTCTCATGAAATATTGAGTTTTTAAGACCTTTAGTCTTCTGCTTCTGTTGATTTCAGTGTATGCAGTAAGTATATTCTATGGGATGATATGAGTCATTTGGTATCCTGTTTTACAAGTTAGTAATAACACTGTACTAAAAGCAGATGAGGTGTATTATCATAATATGGTGTTTGTTTAAAAGAATTTATTTAGGTCTTCCTCTACTCCTTTACTAAGGTGAGTTGTAAATGTACAGAAGACCATGTGGGAAGACTTTGGTATGTGACATTGGTGATGTGTGATAACATCACAAGATGTTTAAGTGATGAAGAGTTCAGTCAGTCAATGATCATGAAACAAATATGTCAGGAAGACAAAGAACAAACTTGCAATTTAAAGGCGAATTATGATCAGTTTAAATTTTGTTATACACTCTTCTTAACAATGAAAATAAAAATTAATTTAATATATTTTAGAAATTACAAAATATGGAAATAAAAGGAACATTCCAAGTGTCCTACTGTGTCACATAACTAAGAAAGTAAAAGAATAAATTTCTCTATTTAGAACTTGTTTTCCTTAAATTCTATAATCATTTTACCCTTTAAAATAAATATGTGCTTTGATTTTCATATTAGATATTTTGCCTTATGTAAATTTTAACCACTCAGATTTTCTTTCACTATATAAATGATATTACCAGTACAGGTCAAATCAATGACAAGGTGTATTATCACAGTGTTTTAACACTGTGAGGCTTTCTGTAATAAACTTTCCATAATAGACTCAATATTCTTCGCATAGTATTGTTCAAGCAGTCTAGAATTGTAGTCAGCATACTTTGTCACCTACTCTACACCAAGAGATTGTCAGATGGCCTGTGAGATCAGGATGTGTCTTATCAGACATAGTGGTATACTGTCTAGTAAGATATATATCTGTAATCCCAGCACTTGGTAGCTCAAGAGGCTGAGGCAAGATCAATTGAGCTCAAAAATTTGAGATCTATTTCTGGTGACTGCAAACTTATACCTGTTGCTTGGACATAGGTTTTGCTTCATTGCAAGTCTCCCAAAAGCAGATTTTTTTGTTGGTGCTTTTTGTTTGTTTAGTCTTCCCCTTTTGTATTCCCAGTGGCAAACACATATTTTTACATGAGTGGTAGGTGTTTAATGTATGCTGATTGGAAAGAGTTAACAAGTGAGTGGATAGTCACTCTAAAAGCAAGTACATGGTTAGTGATCAGCTGGCTCTGACTGGCTCTGTTAAGCCCATAGTGACGTCTCCTATAATCAAATAAAGAGAATTTCTTAATTATGCTGACTGGTTTGATTGCAGACCTTTAGATTTTTAGTATCTCATCAATTCCCCTTTTTTATGTCTGTTATCCTACATTTTAAAGTGACTTTTCTAAAGTGTGGACATTCTGTTTTATAAAATAAGTATTTTAATAATAAACAAATGTTACTTAAAAACCATTCACCAAGACTTAAAATATTTTAGAGTTGTATTCGTGTGTGGTAGTTGTTTTTAAGGTGTTTAATAGCATCTGGGAACAATTCTGGTTCTCAGTCTTTCACTTTTCAAAGTTTAGTAAGAAGCCTCCATTGTATTTTTAAAAATAACTGCCTAGTCTATTGATTTTTTTCACAGGTTAGAATTGTATGGAAAGTATTTGATTTTTAAGATGTTTCATATAATTTACTGTGCCAGTGTCCATTAATTCATTTTTATTGACATAGATATGGATATGTGTGTGCCACAAAGATTATGAAACTGAGGAAAATACTTGAAAAAGTGGAGGCTGCATCAGGATTTACCTCTGAAGAAAAAGGTGACTATTCTAATTGATGCATTGAAAATAACTTGAAAGTATGTCACTAAACAATATTTTAAATTATTTCCTGAAATATGTTTGTTTTACTTAAAGGGTTAATCTTAGAATTATTTGAGAGGGCTAGGGATATATATCTCAGTGGTAGAGTATGCAGGAGACCCTGGGTTTGATTTCCAGCACTGCAAAAATAAATGAAAAAAATTCTATGTGACATGCAAATTTCTCCTGGTATTGTAAATGATTCTTCTCTTCCAAAGTAACTGTGAGGTGTAGTAAAGAACTTTTTAAGAAGCTGGCTGGCCCCACTGTAGATGACTAAAGTCCCTGCCTTCAGCAGTGGTGTTTGCAGTTGCCTCTCCTCCTGTGGTGAGGGCTGTCCTGAGCCACTCACGCTTTCCCACCCACGCTCCTTGTTAAACGGAGCTGTGGGACAGCTGGACAGCGTTCCATCTCCTCACAGCTGAAACATTTTCTCAGATTCAACTTCTGACTTCGAGTTTGTTAACAGTGTACTGTAGTCAGTTGTAACATTTGTTATACACATGATAATTGCTTAAATAGAAGGAAAAATAGGGATTATTTTAGGTGGTACTCTACTGAAACCCCCCAAAAGACATAAAAGTGATTTCACAATGTATGAATGAATATATTCTGCTGAATGGGACAACGTGAGAATAGAATGAAAAAATAACATTTGATTATAACCTGTAAGTAAAAGTTTTCCCTCGTTAGAAAAGTTTGGAGAAACTAAATTTTTAATTAAAATAATATTGAAGGAATGAAATGAAGTTCAGTGTAGAATATGTTTGTCATAAAGGATAGAATGACTTTTTAATTTTGCCTGTGATTTACTTGATTTTTTTTTATTTTCTTCTAGATCCTGAAGAATTTCTAAATATTCTGTTTCATGATATTTTAAGGGTTGAACCATTGTTAAAAATAAGGTAACTCTGAAGCTGTCTAGAAGCACTGGGAAATAGATCTTCTTTTCCACTGCCACCCCTGCATAGGAATGAAGTCCTTACTGACATTTATCAGTGTTATCTGAGTGTAGTTAAGCATTGCAAGAACAGATGTAGGTTTCACTAGCTGCCATCCTTTCCATGAGCTACACTTAACTTGCAGAGCACAGGGTGAACATGTCCTTTTAATTCGCCCTAGTGACAGATGTGCACACAACTTATTTACTTATGTAATTGAATATGAATATTTTTGGAAGCTCAGTTAATAATCTTTTAAAGAGAATCATATTCTAACTGAATTTTTAAAAAAAGAAAGAAAAAGAAAAAAACACCTGAGAACATTGTTTTTGACTTCCTGTCACTTACAGAGTTCAGTTAGCCATAAATTAGCTTTCTAGTTCTCTGTTTAGTAACTTGATCTCTTCCCTTCTCTCCACGTTGAAAGTATTACCTGAGTTTACTGTGGTACAAGTCTTAGTGAGATATTCTAAATGTCTCCCCTTCCCAGGTCATTTGAGAGGTCACAGTGGTAGACCTCTCCCGATTTCAGTTTTGGCTTCTCTGTTGAAAATCTTAGGAATATTCTATATACTTCCTTAAGATCCGAACACTGATGAGTTCTCTTAGCTCTGTGTCTAAGTGATGCAGTTTAAACCAATGTTAAACTGATTTGTGGGAACAAGGACAGTACACAGTGAAAGTTTGGTATTTCCCTGCTTAGGAGTTCATAACAAATGAAATGACGTGATGCATAAACATCGAGTGTACATACTCAGTAGCAAGTCAGAGTTGCTATAGCTTTCTGTGTGCCTAGAAAGTCAGAGAATTACAGATAAAGAATTAACCAGAGAGTTTATAATCTAGCCATGTAAAAAGTAATTATGGAAAAGTCAGTAACATTTTTTGTATTTTGCATATAGAAAATTGAAAATTTTATATTTTAGGAAAGAAAAATAGGCAGCAATCAATTTTTTAAAAGAAGAGTTAAAAAAAGTTTTATACTGAGCTAAAAGGTAGATTTGGTTAGTAAGTAAGATTAAATAGATTTTTTGTTTGTTTGTTTGTTTTTTAACAAAATAACTTGCATTTTGACAGAATTTAACCTATTGTCTTTTTTTTTTTTGAAACTCAAGAAAATGATTTTAGAGATTTCTACAAAATGAAGTGGGTGAAAATGCCAGTAGGTTTTTTTTTTTTTTAAAAAAAAAACTTTTTATTGATCCTTTGTGAGTTTCACATCATACACCCCAAGCACATACACACCATACACCCCTCCCCTCATATCCGCCCTTACAGCCTCCCCACAACAAAATAAAAAAAACATACAAACAAACAAAACAAAACAAAACAAAGCACAGAAAACATCTCATTGTGGAAGCTGTAGTATGCCACAATGTGTCTCACAGTGTATCCCTCTGTCCACACATGTTCACTTGCAAATGTTCATTGAAGTGAGTCATTGGTCTGGTTCATGAACTCTGACTTCTGTGACACCATCAATATTGGATTCTCATTGGGACTCCTCCTGGTTATCCTGTTGTTGCTTTGTGTCATGACGATCCTGCACCTTTGGATCATCAGGACTGGCCCTTTCATGTGTCTCGTTTGCAGATGACATAGATTTTGAAGTAGGCCAACTTGGAGCCCTGGGTCTGGGCCTGGGTGGTAGCTGAGCTGGTCAGCTCATTTCTTCTTCCTTAGCCACACCACTAGGAAGAGCTCTCCAGTATTGCCCAGGCTAGGTCACCCAGTGCTGCCTTTGATAGGAGGCAGGGTCAGCTCTCCTGTTCTTATGCCCTGAGGGCCTGCTCAGCCACACCCACACCTCCAGAGCCAGCTTCACCTTGATGCCCAGTCAGGGTGCTGGGTCCATTCTCCCAAGTGCTGCAGCCTGTGAGGGAATGGGCTAGCTCTCCTGCTTTTACATCCTAAGGGCTGGCCCACCAGAGCCTTCACCATTAGCATTAGCTCTCTTCCTCTCATGCCCTTGTGGTCAGCTCTCCTACTACTACTGCAGATGGTGAGGGGCAGAGGAAGATATTACCGCTGCACCTGCGGTACCCCACAATAGATGAGTGGTAGGGCCAGCTTTCCTACACTCCTGGCCTCAGTGCTGACTTACCTATGCTGCTTCCCCCACAACCCCCATTGACCAGGGTCAACACTACTGTGTTGACCAGGGAAGGTACAGGGCCTGCACTCTTGAGTGCTGCAGCCAGTGAGCAGCAGGGCCAGCTCACCTGCTTTCATGACTCCAGGGCCAGCTCTCCTGACTACCACAGGTGTAGGGGTCTTTTATTTTAAAAAAAAATTCTATTGTAATTTATGAAAGAAAAACAATAGACATTAAAATAGTATATAATTAGAAGTATTTATAATAAAGAATAGGAAGTTCAGTGCTGAAAGAAAAGAAATATAATATAGGACATCTGATACGTAGTTTGGGAAGAAAATGTCGGGTTTGTTTTTCATCTTTTAAGTTTTTTATTTGTTTTACCCTGGAATGTGGTCTTAGAGTATCTCCATGGCTGGCCTGTAACCTACTGTGTAGACCAGGCTGGTCTCAAACCACAGAGTTCTACCAGCCTGTACTTCCTCAATGCTGGTATTCAAGGCATGTGCCACTATACCAAGACTCCTTTAAAAAGTTTTTTTTTTTTTTAAGAAAAAAAAATATATTTATTAAGGAAAAGCAGTAAAAAACTCCTGAGAAAGGAAGGGACTTCAAGAGAGGAAAGACCTGTTTGCCTTTTAGCAAAATAAACTGAGATGCTTAAAATCTTTTTTAAAGTTTTCACCTTAGTCTAGCCATATCTAAGGGACATCAGACTTCCCAGGGTTGATACGAGCTGAATAGTGCAGTAATTCTCAGAAGTGAGGCAGAGTCAGACACTGTTCAGTGCGAAGGTCTTTCTGGAATTGGGAAAGGCAATCTGGGCAATTCTTTACTTTCCCCCCAACCCCTGACATCCAAGAAACCTGTTCATATTTCTGCCAGCTACTTTCTAAAGATTGTAAGATGGTATTTTGAGTTCTTTTTGTTTTCCCAAGTGCCATTCTTGTCCTTATGAGGGAGGTCGGCTGATTGAGCCAGCAAGGAGCTGAACACTGTCTTAGTTAGGGTTTATTGCTATGAACAGACTTCATGACCAAAGCAACTCGTATAAAGGACAACATTTAATTGGGGCTGGCTTACAGTTTCAGAGGTTTAGTCCATTATCATCACGGTGGGAAACATGGCAGCATCCAGGCAGTCATGGTGCTGGAGAAGGAGCTGAGAGCTCTACATCTTGATCTGAAGGCAGGCAGCCAGGAGGAGGCTCTCTTCCACACTGGGTGGAACTTAGGCACTAGGAGCCCTCAAAGCCCAACTACACAGTGGCACATGCCTCCAACAAGGCCACACCTATTCATTTAAAAATAATTTTAATTTTATTTTTAAATTGTATGTGTGAATGCAGTGTCCACAGAGGCCAGAAGAGGATGTCAGATCACCTGAAACAAAAGTTACAAACCTATTGTGGGTGCTGGGAACCGAGCAGTCTTGACTGCTCAGACATTTCCAACTACTTTTGATTGTGAGCCTTAGATTTTTTTATTGTCTTTTAATGGATGAGCTCTTTCTCCAGCCCCAAACACAGAGTTTTAAAGCTATTACCTTGTGCTTGTCATCCCTGTAGGCTCTTGGGCATCTTTAATGCAGAATACATTCATTCTAACTTCAGAAGTCTTCATAATCTTTACTAGTTCCAAAATTGTTCAAACACTGTTCAAGTATAAGGTCTTTTTAACTGTGAGCCCCTGGAAAAATCAACAAACAAGTTTTATACTTCCAACTTACAGTGGTGCAGGGGAAGTTTCTCATTCCCCAAAGTAGGAGTTGGGGGCAGAGCAAGAAAATGTCTGACCAAAGCCAGACTGACACCATGGACACCAGGGCAGGGCCATCCAAGCTCTATGTAGCGCCAGTGATGATGTCATGAGCCCACATGCTCCCCGTGGAGTTGCAGGATTTGGGTATTCTTAGATGAGTGAGTATAGGACCTCAGGACCCACCTACTATGGTCTGAACTGCAAAGACAGATAGACCCAAACCGTTCTAATCCATGAGTTTTTATATTAATATTTGTAAAATGTAGATGTCCATTTTTTAAAAGTTAGCAAATTTTATATTCCTGTGCCTTTGGACTGTCCCTAGTGGAGAATACAACCAAGCCCATGGTTTGATACAATTTCACAACTTTGTTATGATTCCATAGTTTTTTTCAGACTTTTAAAACTCTAGCCATAAAGTTATTTAATTTTTTATTATTTTCTAAAAATTTTATAAACTATATTATATTGTATGTTTAGTGTGCTTTCCACTGTACCTCCATTCCTTCCTGTCCCTTTTCATATCTTCTTCCCGATAGTTCCTTTGTTCCCTACAGCTTCATAATATGGTCATGTCATACACACACACATACTTTGTACAAATCTATATAAAATCTAGGAATCATAAATGAGAGAAAACATACATTGTTTCTCTTTAGAGGACTGCTTTAGTTTAATATGATTATTACCAGTTGCATTCGTTTTTCTATGACCGATACACTTTGTACTTTATGGTTGAGAAGAGCTCCAGTGCGTATTTCTAGCCTAGATACTCTTTTTTTTTTTAAAAAAAAAAGAGAGATAAATAGTACCAAAAAATTAAAAAAAAAAGCTTCTTAGTAATGTTAGTTTTAAGGATTACTACTAAGATTGTAAGGAATGGGAGATGTTACAGTGTTTGACTGTGATGGGTATTCGTAGACATTTATGTGGTATTTATCAGGTCTGTGGGTGGCCATCTAAAGAGCACCTGGTAGTTACAAGGCTAGAGGACAGTTGTTAGGGTCCCTGGGCTTCACACCTTGCGCTGCTTAGCTTGCTAGAAGATTGTCCTTCTCTATGTCTTAGGGCCTTTATTTTAGAGAGTAAAAAGAGGTTTATCTAGAAGGTATACGACTCTGTCATTGAAGCACTGAAGTGTTTGCTTTAATCTTTAAAAGCAGCTTACTGCTTTCTAGATTTGGAGGGAGAAGTCAAACTGATTATTGTTCACATAGTGTTTCTTGACTGGGATATTAGTCTATATTTTTCTTGGAATCACAGAGAAAACTTGTTAATGACTTTTTTTTTTTTTTTTGGTGTGGGGTGGTGGTGGGGGTTTGGTTAGAGACAGGGTTTCTCTGTGTAGCCCTGGCTGCTGTCCTGGAACTCACTCTGTAGACCAGGCTGGCCTTGAACTCAGAAATCCACCTGCCTCCCAAGTGCTGGGATTAAAGGCGTGCACCACCACTGCCTGGCTGTTAATAATTTATGGATAAGGCAGAAAGAATACTTCCTGAGGTCTTCTGCATATGTGCATTTAATTATGTCATCCAAATCATTGTCTTTGACCTGGCATTTGGATGATCCAGAGTTGCACATCTGCATCATGGTATCGCATTTTCAGGTCTTGCCAGCTGGCTTGATATTCTGATTCAAGCATTTAAAAGATAGCTTATGTGCATTTCTTTCTGATGCTCCTAGGTCAGCAGGTCAAAAAGTTCAAGACTGTAACTTCTATCAAATTTTTATGGAAAAAAATGAGAATGTTGGAGTACCCACAATTCAGCAGTTATTAGAATGGTCTTTTATCAGCAGCAACCTGAAATTTGCAGAGGTTAGTGATTCTAACTGTTTTGTTGTTGTTGTTCTAAACGGGCAGTAGGGAGGTGTTAAGCTCAGGACTTTTGTACACACTACCCTGAGTGCTGCCCCACTGAACCACACCCAGCTCTCACTGTGTTTTAACCAAGAATAGTTTGAAATACACACTGTTAAAAAAAACACACACAAAAAATTATGTTCCAACTTTGTTCATTTTTAAGAAAGCTCTTTAGCTTAAGTTGAAATGTTTTGGATTTAGGTGCAAAGTGGTGGTGGAGGGGAAGCTGGTGTTTAACTTGAAGACCTTTAGAGTAGCTTAATTCCAAAGATGTGCATGTACATGTTTATGTTTTTAGTTGTCATTTTGCCCAAGCATATTATCTAATCATTTCAAAGGTAATGCTACTTTTCTCCCTTTGTTAAAGATAAAATGCTAGTAAATTTTTCTGTATGGGTTTGTTAATGTATGTAATAGAAAACTTTGTTTTACCTGAATGCATGGTTTCCATAGTGCGTGCCATGGTCTGTTGCTGGCACGTTCATCTCTGAGGTGGTGATCTCCCTTACTTTGTTGATGTATAGGTAGCATCCTCTGTGGTGATGTCTGACAGGGAAGTCTGGAGATCCTGTAGCTCACTGCTGCTGAGTCCACACTGCACATTCACATGTGGGCCAACAGTGCTGTGCTGAAACCACAGCTGGATGTGACAGCTGTGACTACTTCAGTTTCATAGGGAAACTTGTTTTTGTATGTTTTCCCTTTAGTGCAGGGATGAGACTCAAGGCTGTGGGCATGCTACTATTCTAAGCTGGGTCCCCAGCCCCGTAGGACTTTGATTTCTAAAGCGATGTGTCTTTTGTTGTTGTTATCATTATCATTATTTTTAGGCACCATCATGCTTGATTATCCAGATGCCTCGGTTTGGAAAAGACTTTAAACTGTTTAAAAAAATTTTCCCTTCCCTGGAATTAAATATAACAGATTTACTTGAAGACAGTAAGTATACAGTCCTTTGTTTGTTTTAGAAATAGCACATTAGTTGTGGATATAGTACTTTGACAGGCAATTCAGTATCTGAAGAGCTTAGACTTATTAAGCCAATAATTTGACTGCTGCGAATTTATTCTAAAAAGAGTAGAGGTAAAAATAAATACTTTAAATGCAAAATCACTTACCATTATATGATAAGAAATTAGAGACAAGAAAATGTTAGTAAGAGGCCAGAAGTTAATTGGATTATTCTTCATAACAACACAACTACTTCCATTAAACACATGGGTTTGAGGCCAAGACACATGGAAACCATTGTAAGTGGAAGGGAAACACATTGAGATGCTGAATGGGAGATGCGTGAAATACACATGTACCAGGATGCACACAGGTAGATAGATATTCAGACATACAAGTGTTAGAGAAAGTTTATAATAATGGCAGTGGTTGTCTCTTGCTGACTAAGATCATATGTGCTGTCAGTTTTCTTTATACTTTCTTTTGGGTATTTTATGATCAGAGGAACAGTCTTAGAATAGGTTATCAAAAATGGCTATTTAAAAAAATGTCATAAAAATATTACAAATACAGGAAATCCAAATGAAATTTTAAGAGGATCATAGGGGGCTAGGCCTCCCCAACCAGAGCATTCTTCTTTTGAAAGTATACTTTTTATTTTTAGTGACAGAATACCTTTTTAAAAGGCTTCTTCCTCCCCTTTCTGCATATGGTAGCTCCCAGGCAGTGCCGCATCTGTGGAGGACTTGCGATGTATGAGTGTAGAGAGTGCTATGACGACCCGGACATCTCAGCAGGGAAGATCAAGCAGTTCTGTAAGACCTGCAGCACTCAGGTAATCCCTACTCACCTGGTGGATGAGCCCAGTAGCAGTCAGCTGCTGACAGTCCACAACATTTCAGGACTTGAAAGCCGTTCAGAATCAAAGTACATTTACAATAAATGTTATTGCTCATGTCTCTTCTGCTGGTATGTGAGAGAGAAGTACTTGGCTGTGTTTATAAGAGATGTGCTCAGTGAAAGTGGCTAGAGTCTGCTGCCTTGAGACATGGTATTAGCTCATGTGTGGCATTTTCTTCATGGTCCTTTTTAGGTTCACCTTCATCCCAGGAGGTTGAATCATACTTATCATCCAGTATCACTTCCTAAAGATTTGCCTGACTGGGACTGGAGGCATGGCTGCATCCCCTGTCAGAAGATGGAGTTATTTGCTGTTCTCTGCATAGAAACGAGCCACTATGTTGCTTTTGTGAAATATGGGAAGGATGACTCTGCCTGGCTCTTCTTTGACAGCATGGCTGATCGAGATGGTATTAAAAACCTTCCTTTTGTACTCAGCATCCTGTAATTTGGGGTGTGACACTTCCTAGTGAGGGCACTTGTGTAAAGTAATAGGTTTTTTTTTCTGAGAAAATCCTTTGAGGAATAGCATGGTATTACAAACTTTAATCTTCAAAGTGTATTAATAATTCTGCTACCCAAACTAAGGAACAATAACATTGTTACATCTTGGCACTTACAAGGTTTTGTTAAAGAGTGCTATCTATGGTCTCACTATGGGAGACAGAGGATTGTGAATTAGAGGACAGTGTGTGCTACATAATGAGAGCCTGTTTCAGTTTGCCCCACCTCAAAAGAAAAAAAGTACTAAAATTCTTCTTTTAGAGCTGATTTTACTATCTACTTCCTTTCAGTTCTGTATACACTGTATTAGTCATTTATTGAGCACCTGTATGCCAAGCTCAGTGGCAATACTGCAGTCTTAGAAATTATGCCTGTTTTTCTGTTGTCTTAGTTAGTTTAAAGTGGTAAAGATTGCAGGGTTTTCATTTAAATTATTCTTACTGATCTCCTACATTCAATGAAGAAATTTGTCCAATGAGCTGTTTCTAGAAAGCTTAGTCATTACTTAATACACAGGTCAGTGTCAGAATCTCAAAAAGTTTTAGAAGTAAAATACTTGTAACAGTACGCCCCCCACACATCCCATTTTCTCTACAGGTATTCTCCCAAGCTCTAGTCCCTAAGGTCTTCTGGTGTGGCTCTCTAATAACGAGAGGCCCCTAGTAGCAGCTCCTTGACCAGAGACACAAGACCAGCAGTTCTCCATCTCTTCTCAGCTCTCAGGTGCCTGAGGGGGCAAGCCCACTACTCCTGTGCATATGCTCCACCAAGTTAGCAGTAGCACAGCATTTGGGAGAGCACTTGGGAGAGTAAAACCAAACAGACTTTCCATAATCCAGTCATCAAAGCACACACAGTCTGTTGATCAGTGTATAAACAAAGCATGTTTGAGGTGTGCAAGTATGTTCTTAAAACATAGGAAACAGCGGTGTGCATTGCTAGGTTTGTCAGAAATTGGACATTTTGGTGGAAAAAGAGTGTCAGGCTGTTAGTGTATGGGAGGGGCGTGCAGGTGTGAGGAGTCAAGACTGTGTGCATACAGTGGGTGGCAGCCTGTAGTTCAGCCCTGTCCTAAAGATGTGTCCTTTGACCAATTCTGTTCATGTTTGCTTGTGGAACCCTCTCAGAAGCCAAGGAGACTATAATTCTAGAAACTGGAAGTCAAACAAAGATTTTCTTCCAATTTTGAGAGTCAGTACTCATTAAATTCTAGGATAGTAAAATTGTTCTGGTAGGACAGGGTGCCAAGAGGACTTAGAAGTTCACTTCCCTAAGAGATTTCCTTCCCCCGTCTCTGTAGGTGGTCAGAATGGCTTCAACATTCCACAAGTGACACCTTGCCCAGAAGTGGGAGAGTACTTGAAGATGTCCCTGGAGGACCTGCACTCTTTGGACTCCAGAAGGATCCAAGGCTGTGCGCGCAGACTTCTTTGCGATGCATACATGTGCATGTACCAGAGCCCGACAATGAGCTTGTACAAATAACCAGGTCATCTGAGGTGGGCAGGGACCAGGCACAAACCTTAGTGCTGTGTCTTCCTCCAGCTGGCGGTTCTGTCCGGCGCCCATTGCCGGCAATGGGTGTCTCTTGTGATGATGGCCCTTCAGCAAAGGATTCCTGTGTTTCCAAACAAATTGCTTTTGTGTTCCTGAAGTATTTAATAAGAAGCATTTTGCACTCTAGGAAGTATGTTTGTGTTGATTTTTTAAGAAGTCTAAATGAAGTTATTAATATCTTTAAGTTAACTGCATTGATGATACGATATTTTTGGAAGCATACAATTTTAATTGTGATGTCTAAAACCTCTTTTAGTCCATTGAGGATGTAAATAAATATTTCTTCTTATGGACCAAGGATATGAAATCATTTTTCTTTTGTAGCTAATGATTGCCTTGAGAAAGACATAATATGGTTTTATTAAGAGTCTGCCTTTATTCCAGTTGTTGAAGGTGTGCTGAGTTTAATTGTTAATTTTCCTATATAGTGCTGATTTCCTGCATGTCTGTACTTTGCTGAGTTTCTGTGTTCCTGCAGCAGTGGTCAGAACATGCTGAAATTCGTTTTATGGAGTTATTTTTTTTATTCTGGTTTTGAGATAAATAAGTGACTGTCATAAAATGTCCATTTTTGATGTGTTCTTGAAGGATTAGGGTACAAAACAAGCATCTTAGTCATAGTAACAATTGCTACTGAACAGATTTTCTGTATGGGACGAGATGCAGTGGTTTCTGAAATGACTGAATGATAAGTAAGTTATATATTCTTGGATACACACAGTCCAGAGAAAGTAAAGCTGGCTCAGAAACAGTACCAACATTTCCCTGAAAAAAAAAAAATGTGTTAGGTATTTAAAACTCTCATCTCAAATAAATTATTTTATTTTTAGCTTAAGTGAATTTCTCTTAATTTAAATAAGACTGATTTTTTTTGTTTGACCGAAGAACCTTGTACTCACTGATGGTCAGTTTGTTGTGACTCGATACAATGACAACCACATCAGCATGTTGCTGCAATGTCAGTGACAGCTTCATCCTGATTGAAGAAGGAAAAAATGGATGTCATCTTAGGACTGCTTATAGTGTATGTATATACTGTGATGGCGCTGTAGAGTGCTTGTTGTCTGAGTGTTGTTTTGTGGTATGGCTGTCTTCTCTGAATAATGTCAACCTTACAGAAAAAGAAGGTGTTATATGTATAGCATATGGCTTTATAAAAGATTTAATGTCAAAGGAGTCTATAAATATTGCTGTTATTTTTAAAGGCACTTTACTCCTTGGTTTTATTATTCCATTTTGCTGGTGTGTATTAGCTTTATAAATCACAATGCACAAAACTCTTCCATCTTGTCATTGTTGTACTTTTGCACTGGAAAAGTACATATATTGTGCACAGACCTTTATATAGCTGAGTGCCTAGACTGGGTGGTGAGGCCATGACTAGACAGCAGCAAAGACCTCCAGCTATAGGCTGGCCTTGCCTGCATCGTCTTGGGACAGGTGAGAATGGTACGCACAGGGTCTGGGCTTGCAGACTGACCAGAGTTCAGTCACCCTGTAGTAAGTATATACTTAATGAGTCTGTTAGTGTGACTTTGAAAGGTTTAACTGAGAAATGATCAGGACTGTGTATATAGGCGAGCCTGACTTAACAGTGAAAGGGAGGAGGTAGGGGAAAGCCTTTTTTTTTTTTTAATTTCAGAAATGGAGGCAAAATCCACATGCAGAGACTGACTGCTTGGCTTTCAGAGCAGAGGACTCAAAGCTTGTTTGCAGCAGTTCCAAAGTTGGGGTGGCTCTTTGTGAGTGAGGAGGATCATGTCCACAGGCAATCCCTTAGCAAGATTGTCTCGAAATTGTACTCTGTGTTCTTTAGCAGTAGTGGGTGGGAAGGGACACACAGCGAAGCACCCACTTTCAGTGACTGGGGAGTCCTGAGGACCACAAGGCCAGCAGGAGATTCCCCCTCCCCCCCACCCCGACTTCTTATTCCTCTAGATAGCCCCTCCTTAGTCCTTGTCTCAGGGGAGCCTGGATTGCCCTGGGGCAATAGGATGGACTGTGTGGTGCAGATAGCCTGGGTGCCTGTGGATGAATTAATTTTTCAATCTTAGGTTTTCTGTACTGTTTTCCCATTGCCTTTTAAAATGTTTTGATTGTCCTTTTCCTTATCAAGATGTTAGTGTAGTAAGATTGTTTTACTTACAACATGGTTTAGGATCCATAGCTACAAATAGAAAATACAAGAATTCTGTTTCTCTACTGTGAGGCAAATCTGTATGTATGTATGGAGAGTCAGGAGGATGGACAAAGGGAGAGGGAAGAGGCCAGGCACATTTTAATACAAAAGCTCCAAAGTGTCGAGCCCTTCACTATCAGCTTCATAGACAGTCCAGCTCAATTCAAAAAGTAGTATTTTGTAAGCTGGGGAAAATGCATTGAAAAACAGAGCGAGGTATCTGTATAGTGCAGCTATTGGTAGTTGCTATTTTATCCTCAGAGTAGCTTAGTGTTATTATATGTTTGCCAAGTGCTTAGATAAACTCTAGGCTCTTCTTCTTACCTCTGACTCATTTCTTTTTGCTACATTCTCTCTTGAGTACAGAGGAGGACAAAGGACTGACTTCTGGAGCTTGTCAATTCTCTGGTTGACTGAATGTGGCATTTTCATAAACCTAGGAGCAGCAGCCCTCCCAACTGCAATTTAGTAAGCAGTTAGATAAACTTGCATCTGTTTGCATCTTCCTACACGGAGATGGGAACACAAAACCCAGTATTGGCCTTGGTGAGTAACTGCCAACAAGTATTTATGGGCCATTTATTAGGTGGCTAGCGTACAGCACAGGGCCTGTGAGACCTGGGGCCTGCTCTCATATGCCTTACTGCTCAGTTTCCATACCAGAGCATCTGTTGGTGGCTTCTTAGTCTAGGTGTGGGTGACAGGCATGTCTGGGGACCACTTTGGGAGGAAACCTAATGTAACCTTAGTGTAAAGGACTAAGGGACAGTAAATCCTGGGTTCTTTCTCCATCACTTGCTCTGTAGCCAAACGACACCACGATTTCCTGAGTTCTTGCCTTGCTCTGTCTGATGAAGGGGTTGGATATGTAGTTGGATAGGAGGAAGCAGTACAAATTGTCAGGGTTCCAGGCCATGCCTGATACATCTGATTGCTTGCTGGAGGTAGGAAATTTCAACTCAGAAGCTCATTCACAGAAACCAGTGACCATATGGAATCATAAGGTTGGAAGGCTTCAAAGACCCCTTCTCCTTCTGTTACGGTGGGCTCAAACAATGCTGTTATCCATGGTAATTATTCTGTGTGAGTGTGAAGAAGTGGTTACTGATTCTGTGTTGATCGGCATTTACATATGAGCTGATAAAAGTGCATTTGGTATGTGTTCTCCACCCTCTATTGCTGGGGGCATTAGCAATCACTGGCATACATGTGTCAGGATATTCAATGGCTCGCGCTTGGATGTTTCCTATCACTCTATTTCTACAGAAATAGAGGTTCCGAGAGCCAAAGAAGTAGAAAAAAAATCACTGAGCTTATTTCTCTCTACTACTTAATAATGAAAACATTTAAATTCTTGGGAAGATTTTCCCTCCCCACCCCCAACCCCTCGTAACAGGTCATAATAGGATTTCCTTCTTAGAGAGGATAGGTCATGAGGCCTGCGATAAAAATCCAAGGTGGCTTCCCTTGGACTTGGTGATTCCAGCCCCATCCCCAGCTCTTCCCCAGTGAAGTAATTCTTTAGTTCCATGATGCAGCTGGGGTGGGTGGAGAAGAGGGTGTTACAGTGGGAACTAGTGAGCAGAGACAGTTGAAGGAGGCAGACAGTGCCTCTCACAGCAGAGGACCGGACTCACAGAGCCTCCAGGGCTCTGGGCATTGGTCTTGTCAAAGGTGTTAAAGCATGGCTTCCTGTGAGGGGCTTCCTCTTGCACCTGTGTGAGTGTCAGTCAGTTGTCTTATTGGGTGGGGGACTTGGGTGGAGATGTTAGAGAGAGATGCTTTGTCTTGTTATAAATTCTAGTGTTGCTAAAGGGTTTTCTTGAGTCCAGTGCTGTGCCAGAAGATGAGAAGCAGAGCTGGTCAGTAGTGAGCAGTGGCAGCGTGGGTGATAAGCTCTTTCTGGTGGCCTTAAATAGCAGTGCTTGTCCTCGAGTTCCGCAGGGTCCCAACCTCTGTCCTGGCAGTGCTGATGGGTTTGCTTCATCATATTTTGGTTCTCATTTTCATTGAGGGAAAAGGGTGGTCGATGAAGGGATTATCCTTCCAGGCACCATGGGCCTCAGCACAGTTCCCCTGTGCTTTTAAACACTGTTGTCTTTCATTAGTTATTCTAAAGGGATTTATACTGGAGACACAACTGTCTTTGGCTTCATATTTATGAAATAGTCTTGTACTGTGGAATGCTAACTCTGAAAAGTCTCCTTCATACCAGAAACATTCATTTAAAAAAAAAAAATCCCACTGGTACTCCCTACAGAGGTGGTTATTATCAAGCTGACCCAAGGAGCACATCGAGTATTGCATTTCCTTTTCTGGAATCTTGTTCAACATTCATTTTGCCCACAGAACATCCTTTTGCTTATGAAAACATGAATAACATCACATAAAGCAATCCCTTGCCATCAGAATGCTCCATTTTAGCCTTAATTTTGTTAAACTTGGTGAGGGGTGGAGTGCTGCTGTGCAAAGAAATGTACCATGTACTATTTCTGTATCATTAAAGTGCGATTTTTATGGTTCTCTCTCCTTGGTTTCTTTAGGGGAAGGGTCTTGGAGTTAGGGAAACATAGGAATGGGTTCTTTACAACTTCTCAAGTGCTTAAATCAAAAATCCCCCTGGAAATGCTAGCCACAGTCGTCTTCATCAAGCCCCATACTGCATCTCGGGAGTGTTTCGGCACCTAGTCATTAAACTCTGGGCCATCACTGGTATCTACCCACTCTGGTGCTAGAGATAGCTCATGGCCAGCAGTCGCTAAGCCTCCAACCACAGGCTGCACCTCCTTAGCTTACACCTGTAGGTGTGGCCCAGAGCTGTTCACTACAGAGGGCATGCTCTGGGCCTAAAGGCTGCCAAGGATGTGGCCGCCTCTCTGTAATGCCCAGGGAATGATCACATGACATTTTAGGGACTGAAATTTGACTCTGAGCTCCTTTTAGGTAACAAAATGCGTGACAGGTCCTCCTTCCTTGAAGGCCAGGCCACTGACTGCATACTGGAAGGGGAGCTGAAATGATCTGAGTAGATTATTCTAGTGTGTCGAGGTTTCTGCTTAGAAAACCCACAGCTGGATGGACCTGCTAACGACGTGGGCTTTTCCACAGCTCTGCCTTTGCATGTTGGATTCAAAGGTTGGCATACATTTTCATAGATCCCATTCTTGCATTTGGGCGTATTGATGTAACAAAGATAGTATGTGGATTGCCCATTTGTGGATCTGGGCAGCCAAGTGAAAACCAGTCTTTGTTGAAGAGAGTTCACCTAGCCAGAGGAACTCTGGTCCCACCCTTGACCCCTGGCTAGACTCCTGACCCAATCTGAAGGATGGGATGCATGGCCCAGAGTTAGGGTTTTCCATCTTGGCCATAGGTCAGGTCTACACCCCCAGCTTTATTCATGGTGCTCACGCTTGGTGTATGTAGGCTCACAGGAATATCTGAAGGTGGCCCAGATGTAGGTTTTTGTCAAGGCTCTTTCCACTAATCCAGTGTGCAGCCAAGTAAGAAGCACTGATGGACAGAGTCTTCCAAGGTAAGCAGTCCACATAGCATCCCTAATGAGAACTTTCTGCTCCAGTGGAAGATAGGACTGTGTGGACACAGCTCCAGAGGGGAAGTAGAAAAATCTATGGAGAAGCTGCTGGCCTAGACTTTCAAGAAAGATTCCTGGGCTTAGAGTAGTTGTAGGACAGACAGTTTAGAAGCAGGCTGGAAGAAGATTTGAATGAAGAATGCCGACACGGGGCTGGAGAGATGGCACAGTGGTTGTAAGCACTGGTTGTAAGCACTGGTTGCTTTTCTACTGGACCTGAGTTCAGTCTCCAGCAACCATTTGATGGCTCATAGCTATCTGCAACTCACACCCCACAGCTATCTGCAAAAGGACAATTTGGAAGAGTTTCCTGCCTGTCTTCAACTGTTGATGATCAGCAGATCTGAGCGGGTTGCTGGTGGAGGAGGGCTGCTTTACAGTGTTGAGTGTTGATGGAAGGGGTTGTTTCTGGGGCCGATTACAGCAAGGAGGCTTCTGAAGACTGACCTGGATAGTACAGAATCAATAATGTCTCTTAGCAATGGGCTTTCATCACAAAGCGC